GTTCGCGTTATTCCATGTTTATAGGCCCCAGAGCGCCCCATCTTACCAACCCAGTAAGCCCCAAGAACCACTCTTTAATAAAATAATAATTATTATAAAAATTATATGAGAAAATAATCTCAGTGACTAAAAATCCCAGATAATATACGATTTTGATCAACTTTTTTTTGATTTACGAAAATGACCAACAAAATCGCAATGCGATCTCTAATTCGCATTGCGATCTCCACTATCGCAAATTCGGCGTTGCGATAATTGAAAATCGCGTTACGATAGTTGAAAATCGCGTTGCGATAGTTGAAAATCGCGTTACGATTTTCCATTTCGCGTTGCGATTTTCCAGTTCGTGTTACGATTTTCTAGTTGTCGTTGCGATTTTCCAAATTCGTTGCGATAGTTAAAAAAAAGATTTTGTTTCTTAAAAATTTTCTCTAAAAAGATAGTATCCGCGCGGACGTGTCGAAGACACGTATTACCACGACCACGACCACGACCACGATTTTTTTTTTCAAATTATATATATGTATATTATCTGGGATTTTTGGTCACTGAAGTTATTTTCTCAAATTATATATATGTATATATAAAATCTTCTTCTCTGTGGTTGGTGATTATTGATATCACTGTTTAACTTCGATCAAACTAAGATTTTTTTCTCTCTTTCTCCTCCATTTTTGTTCATTTATTAAATATTTAAACCTACACTTTGATTATATTAAGTAAATACTATATAGTTGAATTTATTGGCAAAACAAAACTAAAAAAATTGAATTTCAATTTTTTAATCCCCCAAAGAAAATAAAAGAGATGGTGTATATATCTATGTTCTCATTTGGTCTCCTCTTTAGATCAAATATAATATGCAAACTTTGAATGAAAATTTAACCTTAATTGTTGACCATCCAATTGCATGTTCAAAAGAACTTCTATGAAGGCAACGTTGACAAGGAACCGTTTGACATTTCTAAAATATCCTAGCTATTATATATTTCATAACTTTAATTTTCACTTTGATAGAGCACTGTGATCATAAAATAATATGCAAATGTAACTGCTCAAATCCAAGTCCTCTAAGCAAAACAATACTCTTTTTACTACAAATAATTCCATATATGACAATAGTTGCAACTCAGTCGTAGGAAGACATGTAAAAGAAAGAATATATATTACTCGAAGTCAAGAAATATAAAGTTGAAGATATAACCTGGTCGGTTTATATCATCATTCCAACAGATCTGAATTCAATACTAAATGGCCATTGGCCAAAATATAAGTAACAAGGTGATTGAACTATGTTTAACAAATTTAAATAATTCCATATGTTTATCATGGCTGAAGATAGAGGGAGTAAAGAAGATGGAGCTCCATATCCATCAACATGGATGTGATTTTATTCCTCTTAATAAGAGAAGACAGCATTTATAAGCTGGGGTGGGGGACATAACAAAGAAATTGCAAAGAAATCCAATGCAAAACTAGAAATGCTTCAAAGAAACAAACTTTAAAGGTGATCGCAAATGGCCTTAGTAAAATCGGTTGTTGTTGATGTGCCACCAAGATCAGCAGTTCGGTATTTACCCTCTGCAATTGTGTTGAGAATGGCATCCTGAATTCTATCAGCCTTATCATGGTAATTCAAGTGCCGCAACATTGAGACCGAACTCAATAGTAAAGCAGTTGGATTTGCCATATTCTAAACAAAGTAAATAATACAAATAATTAGCCATGGGAAATAAAATTGTACAACGAAAAATAAAAGGATCATGACGGGCACACTACTTTGGGGTTTTTTTTTCTCTTTGAAGACTAACCTTTCCAGCAATATCAGGTGCTGAACCATGAACAGCTTCAGCAAGTGCTATTCCTCCCTCACCAATATTACAACTGCACAAAGACTACATGCTGTAAAACCATCGAGATGTATATGCCCTACGATCATTAGGTAGAGGTAGTTACCTTGGTGTTAAGCCCAAGCCCCCAATCAATCCAGCACAAAGGTCACTGATAATGTCACCATAGAGGTTAGGCATCACCAATACATCAAAGAGAGCTGGATTTTTCACAAGCTGCAATGGCCAAAAAAAAAGTTTGTTGGATATTAGTATTACCTTCAATAAAAGATGAAATGCACTAGTTAAACTTTTTCTGTTCTAAAATCCAATTATAGGCAGAAAAGAACAAAGGATTTTCCAAGAGTAAAATCAGCAGCCGCCACCATCCCTTCTGCTTTAGATCTTTGCGATTCTTTTTTTTTCGTTAATTTTGTTCCCAGTTGACGCAAGGCACCAATTGGTTTTCTATTAATCTTCCATGGTTAACCCTATGGAAAGCTTTGAAGAAAATAGGCAAGTTAAGCAGCCTCGAAGGCGTGATGAGAAGCCACCAGATGCTATAGGCAATATCTGCGATGGATGATGTAGTGTGGGTTCAGAGTCTGTTGATGGTAGTGTAACTCCCGTTGGTGTGGGTACTTGGAAACCTTTTCGACCTAGTATGGATCCCTACTTTCTCACTTGTTCTTCGCTGATGAGTCGATTCTTTATGCAAAGGATGATATGGCTCAGACGAAAGTCATTGCTTCAATTTTATTTGAATTTGGTTACTTCTCCGGACATAAGGTTAGTAAGAGAAAAACTCAAATTTATTTATAACTAAATACTAATCTAGAGCTGAGAAACATGATTAGTACTAGACTAAGCTTTCAGGCTGTAGACACATTGGGGAAGTATCTAGGTGTTCCAGTAATTCAAAAGCAAGGCAATATGATAACCAATGGAATGACCCAATTGGCAAATTCCCAACACTTTCAAACAACCATCTATGGTTCTTCTCCGAAAGAGATTCAAGGCTTGGTTGCCAAAGATATTTCTGGTCCTTATTATAGAACTGTTGTTTCTCAATTCCATGCCTTAGGCCTCCTTACTATTCAAAAAAAAAAAGAAGATGAAATGCACTCCATCTTGTAATTTGTCAAAAGAAATACAGGCAGAAAGGTAGCACCTACAGTACCTTATTCAAAATCTGTTATCTAAGCCTCCTGTCACTGATGAGAAAAAGAAAGCATTATAATGTTTACAGGAGGAAATTTATCATACCATCATACAGCAGTTGTCAATGACTACTTCCTCATAAGTTATCTCAGGGTATTTCTCTGCAACTTCACGACAACACTGGAAAAAGATAAGTAAACCAAACTTAATAAATGGTTGCTCCAAAAAATTAATGAGCTATTAAATTAGGCATTTGAATTGAAAGACCTTAAGAAAAAGACCGTCTGTTTTCTGCATAATATTGGCTTTATGAATAGCAGATACTCTCTCTCTTCCATGGGTCTTAGCATAATGAAAAGCATATTCAGCCACCCTTAAACTTGCCTGACGAGTAATAATCTTGAGACTTTCAACCACACCTCTCACCACCTAGATCCAAAAGCAAAAGATAGAAAGATATTTATAGAGAATACCCCATTTATCAAACAGTACATCAATTATGAAAAACAAACTTACTTGATGCTCAAGTCCACTGTACTCCCCTTCAGTGTTTTCACGAATAGTGACAAGATTTACATCGTCGTAGCGAGTCTTATAACCTGGGAGACTATAACATGGCCGGGACATTGGCATACAGATTAAGTTCTTTCCTTAGAGTAAGGTTCAAGGACCTATGACCTTTACCAATAGGAGTAGCCATTGGACCTTTCAAGCCTACCCGATTCCTTCTTACTGATTCTAGACTTTCCCAAGTTAGAAAACTTTGAGTTCTTGAATCAACTTTGTCCCCAACATAATGTTCTTCCCATTCAATTGGCACTTCAGCAGTTCTAAAAACCTAAATCAAATCAAATTATTCAGTTTCCACCAAAATTTCACTGAAAGCAAATAAAAAGGGTCTTGATAATGAATTTTCCTTGTACAAACTTTTATCTATTTTTATTCTATAGATCAGCTTACTAAAATTAGAAACAGCTAGTTATTGACAGTTTGTGCCTAAATCAAAAACTTTTCGAAGCAAATTTTTAAAAAAAATTAACACTAGAGATTCAATTCATGGATGCCAATACAAAAAAATCAAAAATTTGAGACTTAACAAGCGAAAATTGGATGCAATTGAAAATTAGAAAAAACTAAAAAGAAAAAAATGGAGAGAAAGCGGGAACCTGTTTGACGGACTCGGCGATCTCGGGGCCGATGCCATCGCCGGGAAAGAGAGTGGCTCGGATGGTATCGGTGGCCGAAGAGAAAGGTCTGGCTAAGGAGATAGGTTTAGGGCTTCCATGTGAAAGGATCTGAGTCACTCGTCGTCTCAGGAGCTGCGTCGCCATTGATCTTCTGGGTTGGCTGAGTCAATACTTTTCGAGTTTGTTTTAAATCAAAATTATAAAGCTAATGGCTTTATTCCGAAATATGGAAAATGAGGGCATATAATATATTCAACCAATGAAACAATGCCACCTTATCTCCATTATGAGATTTTATTTCTTAAAAAATGTATTATTATTATTTTTAGAGAATTTTATTTTTAGTTTTTTATCGGCTGGTCAAAGTTCGAAAGGTCAAAGGTTTCACTTACCAGAGCTAGTTGGCTAAATTTGTAATTTCCGTAATATTATTAGAGGTGTCGAGTCGAATCAAAATTTCGAGTTATTTGAGTTGATAAATCATATTTTGTAACTTAAACTTGATTTGAAACTTTTTCGAATCGGGTTTTTGAATTTTTTGTTTAAATTTAATTATAAATATTTATAATATTATTTGATTCCAATTTAGATTATTTTTTATAATCATATTCATTTATTTATTTTTAGATTTGTTAATGTTTTATATTAGATTGCATATAAAATTGTAAATGAAAAATGGAATTTATTTATTTAAGTTAATAAATAAACATAAACAAAGACGATGATTTTCGAGTTCATTTAGAGGAATAAAAAGCATCCCAGGGATGAATTGTGAAAGAAAATGTTATTATTTCACTTCTTTTACGAGGAAATTCAAGTGATTAAGGATTTGTAAACAAATCTCAAATGATTAAAAATGAAAAGAAAAAAATAAGGAACTAGCATATTGGAAGAGGGGCACCATTCCATTCCTCAAGACATTCCATCATTGGATCAATGATCTTCCCTTGGCACATTGCTGTGAAAACCTTGTCAAACTCCTCACCCGGTGAGATCAATTTTTCACCACTTAGCAACCCTGTTCCGAGCTCTTCCCTCACAAATTTGTACAATGGATAAGATCTGCATTCCTTGATCTTGTTCGGGATTGCAGCATTTCCGTTCTCGAACGATTCCCTCGAGCTCTCGACTTCCTTCGGCAGGACAACCTTTAGTTCTTCTTCGAAAGCCGCAATCTTTTGGAAGATCGAAGTGCTTGCGTTCTTCTCGTTTTCTCCATTTGTTAATGCATGCTCCACGAGTACTTGCCTCAGCTTCTGCATCAACGGATAGGTAGCACTGCAGGGATCGTCGATGTAGGCGAAAACATATTCACGGTCCACGGCTTTGAGTAGATCCTTCTCGCAGAACCGTGAAGGGTGTAGATCACCGTTGGCACCGGTAGTGAGGATCTTTTTAGCGATCTGGCTCACGGTGTTCTTCACCGTGTTCCTCAAATTCTCTTCCAAATGCCTCAAATCGATCGCTTGACAAAGGGCCACCAAGTATGTAGAGGACATCAGCTTCAAGATATCAACAGCCTCAGCAGTTTTCCTTGAAGAGATTAGTCCCAAGGAGTTCACATCTTGATTGTGCTGCTCAGCACTTTGAACATGGCTAGTGACCGGATTAGCAAGGTATTGGAGCTCAGAACAGTAGGAGGCCATTGCGATTTCAGAACCTTTGAAACCATAATCCAGACTGGGGTTCCTACCACCAGAGAGGTTTGACGGGAGACCGTTGTTGTAGAAATCGTTAACAAGTTCGGAGAATTGAGCAAACATTAGTTTTCCAATTGCTGCAATCGCCAAACGAGCGTTGTCCATTGAGACTCCGATGGGGGTACCTTGGAAGTTGCCACCATGTAACGCCTTGTTCCTCGAAACATCGATCAATGGGTTATCATTGACGGAGTTAATCTCTCTTTCAATTGATTTGGTCGAGAATCTGATCACTTCGATCTGTGGACCAAGCCATTGCGGAGAAGTCCTAAGAGCATACCGATCTTGTTTCGGTTTCTGCAGGGGATCCATTTCATGCAACATCTTACCTGCTTTAACATAAGAACTCCCCTCAAGTATGTGTTCCATTATAGCTGCGGCCTCAATTTGTCCCGGATGGTGCTTCAATTTATGTGTCAAATGGTCGGTGAACTCCGGTTTACCATTCATGACTTCAGCGAAAATCGCCGATAAAACTTCTGACAGAACGGCCAGAATGTTAGCTTCGAAAAGAACCATGGAAGCCATACCGGAACCAACTGCAGTGCCGTTGACTAAAGCAAGCCCCTCTTTAGGCTGCAACACAAAGAATCCAGAATCGATACCGGCTGCTCGGAAGGCTTCCTCGGCATCAAGGGCTTCACCGTTTGGTCCAACGGCCTTCGAATTCGGCCTGCCTGTGAGCAGTCCAGCAATGTAGGAAAGAGGAACAAGATCCCCGGATGCAGTAATTGTGCCACGGAGAGGCAAACATGGAGTTATGTTGCTGTTGAGAAGCTTTGTAATAGCCTCAAGAATCTCAAATCTGATACCGGAGTATCCCTGGAGCAGGGTATTGATCCTAACAAGCATGGCTGCTCTGGTTGCCGAGTGTGGAAGTGTGTGACACGACTCAGTTCCATTGCCAAAGATCCCAGCATTCAAAAACCTGCAAGACATCAATAAAAGTAACTCGGTTATAGCTCAGCAGTACTCCAGACCCGGACTACAAATGCTACACGTACGGTACTGAGTCGAATCGTAAAAAGTTATTCAACTCACCTAATGAGCTCTTTTTGAAGGGCAGCTCCTTGCTTGGTTCTACGATGTGAAGTAGCACCAAAACCAGTGGTGACGCCATAGCTGTCGGTGCCTTTGTTCATGCCATCAAGGACCCAATCAGCACTGGCCTTAACGCCAGCCCTTGCGTCCTCGGAAAGCTCAACCTTGACACCCAAGTCACGTGTAGCAATGGCCGCCACTTGAGAAATCGTCAAGGTCTCGCCGCCCAGCTTCACCGATGGGTTCCTGTATTCAGCCACCATGCGTTTCACTTCGTCCAAATGACTTCCCTTGAGTGACTCGGCCGCCACGCCCCAATTCAAAGGATCAACGGCATCACCACCACCGACAACAACAACACCCTTTGAAGCTGTGCAAAAGTTCTCCAAAGACCCGTTTTGGTGATCATTTTGGGTGATCGTCTCCATGTTCAAAAGAAGAAACAAATGAATAAAAGGAGAACAACCCACAGAAGAATTCGAAGTTCTTAGCTTGTGAATGTATGCTTTTTAGAGGAAGTTAGACAGTTAGTTTCCTTTCTCTTCCTGAGGAGAAAGCGGAGAAGAAAGGTGGTTTAAATAGAGGAGAGAAAAGGAGGGAAAGAGGAAGGAAGCGAGTTAATGAGTTGGTAGGTAAGCATGAGTGGGTGGCAATGGGATACGCGAAAAAAGAAAGGACTATGTGTTTGTTGAGGTAAAGGAAGGCCGTTAATTGAGAAACGATCCAAGGGTGGTGGATTGGATTTGACTGAGGAAAGTGATGGTGTCTGAAGATTTGAGCAGAGGCTGTGGTTGGTGAGAAATGATGAGAAAATGCTTAAATGCATGCCTTCAAACCCACCGATCCAACCCCAATCGGTCCAAATAAAAAGTTGTTATCTAATCATAAATTTACATATATCAAACATTAAGGTGAAATTTGTGTTTTAGGTTATTGAACTTTGATATCATCATTTATATAAATCACAAATCTTTCAACATCCATGCATGATTTGTTTTAAAACTGTTGATAGGAGAAAATTAATTTTGTTAGTGGTTGGTTGTTCATTCTTTTTTTTTTAAATAAAAATTTACTATCTATAAAATAACAATCGTTGATCGATATTTATTTATATAGACGAGAGGATAACATTTTAAAAAAAATAGATGATGTATATGAGGTCTGGAGAGAGAAGGGGATTCTCTCTTCGATCTTTTCTCGAGGTATAAATACATTTATTAATGGGTGTGATTAGTGTTAAATCTATGATGATGATAGGTGTCAAATTTCATCTCTAATAAATTATATGAAATGGTCAAAGATTCAGACATAAGATTGTCACCATCTAAATAATACGAGATTTCAAATAAATAAGGAACGAAAACGTTATTTTTTAAGAACATCTTTAGAAGATCTTTTAGACCCAAAACATAGATTTAATTAACTTTGGAATTAATTCCAGGAGTTTCACTCTTTAATCACAAACAACCTTGAAATAATGACAAATATTTATAGTTTAAACTTTTAAAAGACAATTAAATGAATACTCGTCATCATTTTAAAGGTGCCGGTTTGGATTATTTCTGTTCTCATACATGTGGATTATTTCTCATGAACATTTCTTCGCAATGCACTATAACAGTATTATTAAACATTTAAATTATTAAATTAAAATGTTAAAATTATTAAATTAGAAAATATATAATTAAGAAAAATGACGACAATTAATGAAAAATTAGCTGGTTGTTAACAGCATTGCTGTCATATCCTTTTGTATGTAATTTCCATGCAATTTTTTTTTAAACAAAAATGTTATTTGAACGTTTATTATCAAATGATTTTTTTAAAAAATATTACCAAATTCATCTTAGATTAATAACAAAATGTGATAGGTTTGGATGTTGTGGTTCATGTTACAGGGAAGTTAGGGAAGGATTATACTGTTTTTTTTAATTATATAATTTAAGTATTTTATATTTTTATTTTCTATACTAGTCTAATTTTTTTTTATTTTACACTCATGGATTTTATATGATTTATTAAAAAATTACACTCTATAATATAAAATTTTATGTTTATCTATGCTAGTAGTTGTCTATACGTATTTGTAAAAGATAATTATCTTAAAATTCGAATAATATATAGGTATTAAAACTTTATGGCCACATGATTTTGAGTGGAGGGGCTAAAAACTAATCCACCAACTTTGCAAATTGATATCAATGAAAATGGGTGGGTGAATCATTGCGTCTAATATGCATATTCAGCCGAATATATTTTAAGCGACGCTTTTTTAGTTCTATTGAGTCATTTTTAAACCCGTTAAAATCCTTTTCAACGTTAGTAAGAGTGCCGCTAGATCAAATACCGAAACAATTAACGACATTGGTAAATATAATACGTCACTAATTGTCGTGATATATAATGGCATTTGTTATCTAACGATGACATTTGTTCTCCCAAACAACGTTATATATTGTGATATTTAGTGGCATTTTTACCACAAACGTCACCAATGACTATATATATAGTGACTTTTTTTACCAACGCTACTAGTGTGTGCGTCATTAGTGATGTTTTCATCCCAAGGCACCGTAAAAGAGCGTGACTTGTAGCTGCGTTACTTTGACAAACTCCATGAAACTTAACTAATTTGACAAATATCATTTTCTTCTCTATATTATCCTAATCTAAGATCATTTTGTTTCTCTTTATTACTCCAATTTAATATATGTATTACGATAAACTTAACATTTAATTACAATAAAAATTAAATAGAAATACATAACAACAAAAATAAATCAAAATTTTATAAACATTAAACTGAAATATAATGTATTTTAACATTATTCATAAAAAAATCAAAGTTTTTACTAAAAATACCACTAAAGGTATGTATATATATTACGACGATTTTTGAGTAAACGCCATAAATTTTGTCATTTTGTAACGTTGTTTCTGTAACTATAATGAGGTATACAAAATTAATGAAGTTTACTAAAAAAATACCGTTAAACTATTTTACTATAACGATTCCAGTTTATAATGTATTTTATGATTTATTCTCAACAGGATGGAGATGGTGGGTGCTTGAATTTAAGGATGGCAGAATGATTCGAACCCGACGGGGAAACCCGAAATCCGGTCAAATTCGAGTTGGGTCGGGTTTGAATGATATCGGGTCAGGTATCATATATTTTTTTGGGTCGAGTTCGGAGACTGGGCAAGGTATCCCCGCCCCGCCCCGATTATATATATATATATATATATATATACTATTTTATATTTTTTATATTAATTATATATATAATATTTTATATTTTTTATATTAACTATATATATATAATATTTTCGGGTTCGGGTTCGAGTATAATATTTCGGGTCGGGTTCGGGGACGGGACAAAAAAATCCTCGACGGGACGCCCCGATAAAAAACCCGACAGAGATTGGATCGGAGTCAGGGATGGGGATTCATTTCGGATTCGGGGACAGGGCGAGCAAAACCCGCCCCCGTTGCCATTCCTACTTGAATTATGTTGACCTTACTATAATTAAGTTCCATTCAAAATTCAATGGAAACCCTGGAAATTATAAAAAATACAAAATAAAATACAGCTAAAGTTCATATAAATAATAAATATCACGAAGAAAAAACATATACAAAATCTAGAATATTATTACTAATATTTATACAAACCAAACCCTGAGCAACTGTCTAAACTTGGGATGACTTGGCTTGTGGAGATGGTGGCGAGGCCGGAGTTGAACCAGGTGGTGGTGCAGGTGGCCCGAAGTATTGAGCAGCTCTTTCACTTCGACCCTGAGCTCTACCAAGAAGATAAAAGGCAAGGGCTAAGATCAAGATGAGCAAGATCAATGGAAAAGATATCACTAAAACGAAACCCATCTAGATCTTAATGGAAAGGACCTTATAATTTATAATCTCTTTTTGAAATTAAACTAAGTTGCTTGCCCTGGGGAAGTCTGGAGAAAGGTTGAAGATGATAAAAGACTGATGTGGGCCAACGGTTTTAGACTTTTAAGGTTAGTAATCATCCAAGTGTCTCCATAATAATTGACTTTTATGGTCCCTTTATTTTATTCAATTTTGCCTACTTCTGGGAATATTTTAAAACCCCAAATTCCAATTCAGCCACAAAGTTTGTTATTATGGATACATTTCCAGTTTTTGTCCTACTCGAGTTCTGCTGCAATCACAACATATCCAGTAGATTTCTTACCCTATGTGTATATATCGCATATATTGAAATTAAACTTCCAGCTTTGGTGTTGAACCATAACACCTTTCAGATGACAGGTGTTCGTGAAAAACCCCAATTTGCTTCCCTAGCCTTCAGCATCATAAAGATACGAATGAATTTACAAAGGTTATTCCTAGTGAGAATAGAGAAGGAAGTGGTAATAGTATATATTATTCCTTTGTTCTTTCTTTGTTGAACATTGGTAGACACGTCCTCCGCATGCATATGCTGTCGTTGACCGATCCGTAGTAATTACATTTCTTCGACACGTTTTTTTTAATAGAAAATTCGGATGATTTTTTAAGGTTTATTAGGAAACCTTCTCTGATATTTATAGCCTACCTTTGAACGTGTCAACAGAAACGAAACTACTATATACATGGGAGGGGCTGTGACTCCCAACTAGGCAAATTTTTTTTTTACATTAAATATATTATATAATTTAAATATTTTTAGAATAATTATGAATTGCTCTTGTATTTTTAAAAAGTTATATTTTATCCCTTTCGAGTTGGAATTCTGATTTTGTCTATGCATGTGAATATTCCAATATCTATTACTAAAATTAATTGATTGACAGTTGATTAGAGATAATTCATTAATTGTAATGAAGGAGTCAAAATTAAATATTGGCAGAGGCCGAAATATTAGTCTATTTAAGAATAATATAAAGACTTATTAGATATTTAAACTCAAAATTCAGTATGAACCAAACAATCTTAGTGATTAAGGGATTGTTGTTATTCTTGAGGCCCCGAGTTCAAGCACGTATGTAGAGATATGAGCGTTCATTATTAAATAGTTGAAAGTTTTTATACAAATATTACCTTGTATTCACCCTAAATTAAAAAAAAAACCTCAAAACTCAAAAGACAAGTTCTAATTTATCTAATATTTAAACTTACAATGACTTAAATTGTAATTAGACCAAAAATTTGAGAACACATACTTATCATTCTTCAGTTTGACCCCTACTTGATTAAATATTTAATAAATTTTTATATTTTTTAAATTTAAATATTTATTTTTACATGAACCAAAATACTATCAAACCAAAATTATATCGAATATATAAATTTTAACAGGGGTCGGAGCCTATTAGGCTGTAAGGGAGCTCCATCCCAGTTTTCAGGTACCCGAAGTGACGGGTTGATTTCTCGGCCCGTGTCCCGACCCAGATATTGTGGGTACCGGGTACTCGG